GCAGATAAATGGCGTTTCCTATAATTACATGATATGTATATATGGAGATCTCTAAGAGTTCAGTTGAGAAGCAAAACTCTGTGGTTCGCTGTACAAGTCTTCTAACTAACCTACTCTATCTCTCTTATATCTAAATCCAGCCGATGTCACATGGCAGTTATCCTCTATGTATCAGACTAAAAAATGAGGGAACACATTTGAGAGTCTTGCTTTCAAGAATGAAAGGAAAGGATTTTCGTATCAGCCATATGTTGGGTGCTAAGCTAAGGCTCTCTGCCTCATCCATTTGGTAGCCGACCATTTCTCGCCAGAAAGCACTTCACATCCACCATGTAAACTACGTGGATCAGGTTGTCCATCAAGACCCTGCAACGAATTTAAGGAATAAATCAATTCACCAAATTCAAGGTTTGATAACATTGCATGCATCTTTAAACCTGAGATACTTTGTAATGCTAACTTACCATACTCCAAAAAAGAACGGCATCTCCTTTGAGTGGTTTTACAGACATTCCTGAAACCATCTTCCCACCACAGCTGCATTCACCAGAACCAGCCTGACAAAACAAACAGGTATATACTCAAGAACCAATCGGGGGTTTATTTCTCTATCATATCTTTATCCTGGTAAAGAAGGTAGCAGGAAGGTATCATTTCCAACAATTTTTAGCCACTTAGAGATGACTGTTAGGAATTCATTATGCAGCAACATATTTTCACTGTTGAGAGACGACTGTCCTAATCATCTTTGTTCTTTTTACCCCTTGTTTCTTAAGAAAACATACTTGTATAGATCTTCAGTTGCAAGCATATGCAGTCAAGTGGAATTTAAAGATAAACTTATATGAGACATGCATCTAATGCTGATACGCAACGAGCTGAACATAAATTTAGCAACTCATCGCACTTGCATGAGGTGGAGATGGATGGAGGAGATGATGACATAGATAATAAGACGAGGAGATATATTGGGCTATGAGGCTTAGAGACTCATCAGAAAAGAAAAGGCAATGATTATCCTAAGCACTCTAAATAACCCATGATTATCCTAAGCATTGTAATGAATAAAACTTGTCATCAAAAATACATTACTACTCCCCCCTACCAGCACCACCTTTAGAAAATACTCAACTTATTTATGGAAACTGCTTTCAACACAAGTCTTTCAGAAATTGCCTTTTCAACTGAGTTAAGATGGATCTTGTATACATCAGGATATTACTATTTCCTAAGCTTAAGATATAAACTACAGTGCTCTGACACTACTTTCCTAGGCAAAAAGAGCTCTAATTTACTTCTATAAAACTTTGCAGGCACCAAAAAGATAATATTTGTATTAAATATCCCAGAACCATAAAGGCTCTCAGATTTTCTATATGAGCCACTTTTTAAACCGCAAGTCATCAGGGAACCTAACAAATAGCATACAAGCATAAAGAATAATTGAGAAAGGAGAAGTAGAACACATAATGACACAAAGCAAAATTCCTTAAAATATAGTCATTCACAGAAACAACATTCTTTTATCATTGTTTTCAACCACATGACTTATCCTTTTGATCAGGATAAGATTGAAATCATCTGAAACACCACTTTCTTTCTGATCAGATGGAGCCCCTGACCTGCTAAATGTAAAATAAATGGTAGTACTCTCATAGGTTGTTTTCTTGTGATTGCCGGCAGAACCAGTCAAAAAACAGCTCTAGAAGTGTGACATGCAATGAAATAGGATAGTGATAGCAAAGCATTTGTAAGAGAGCAATATCAAAATTATAGGGAAATTTTCAATGGTAGCTACATAAAACTGCACATTCTCTTTGGTAGCAAAACATTTTCAAAAATCTCTTAAATAGGATTGGATTTATAATTTTTCTCTGAACCAGCTATATTTTGGTACCTCTCAATTAAATTAAGCTAAAATAGATTAAACATAGTTTAATAATAAACCAGCACAATGTATAAAAAAGCTCAAGGAGCGCTGAAGCGAGAGGGGTTATGCTGCGCCTAGGCGCGCCAGTGCGCCTTACATCAACAGTACAAAAATTTTGGCTGAAGTTTGCTCAAGTGCACCTTGTGCGCTTTTAGTGTGCCTCATGCACCTAACCTGCCAGACCAAATTAAGCGCTTACCCCCTATCGCCTTGCGCCTCAGCGCCTAGGCGCGCTTTTTCAAACACTACACCACCATCCTCCAATTCCTCCTCAACCTCATCACCGTAAATAACCAGCCGCCCCTCTCCCCTCCCCTTGCTGCCCCACCTTTTACCCTTAAACCACCCAGCCACATCTCCCTCCCCCCACAAAACCCTAAATCACCTCCCCCTTTCCGCGACTTATCCATGGCGCACCACTGCACCACCACCCTAACCCTCTTCTTCCTTATAACCCTATTTTCTCTCACCTCTCCCACCATGATCAATTTCGATAAACGGCCCAAAATACCCATCTATGAATTCGGGTTTACTGATACAGGTCACCTTGAACTCAACGTTACTGAAATCAACCTCTGCAGTCATAACAACAACATCGATATTTAGGTTCTTCCTCTATACTTGTGATTCATGACTTCACGTCCTCTTGATTTTTTGTCAATTGATTCCACGGGGTAGGTGGGGGTGGGGGGGGGAGGGAAGGTGTGCTGGCGGTTTGGGGGAAAGGTAAGGGCGATAGAGTGTTTCATTAGTGGTGGAAGGGGAGGCAAGGGGAGGGAGAGGGGCGGCTGAGTGTTTTCTGCGAGGAAGAAGGGTAGTTAGGTGTTTTCGGTGGTAGGAGGTGGAAAGGAGGGTGGTGAATGTGGTAGTAGTGGTGAGGGTATAACCATATTAAAGGTCAATTATGTTTAATTTTCTATAATATGGCTAGGTTAGAGAAAACTTATTAATCCAATTTCTAAATTTAAGAGAATCCTCTTAAAAATTTGCTACCAATGAGAATGCGTAATCTTGTATGGCTACCATTGAGAATTTCCCAAAATTAAAGAGATCAAATCATCAAAGCACCTAACTATTGTGCACAAATCTACTCAGGCTTACCATAGGAAAATATGTTTCACCCCCTTCAACATTGTCACTTAAGTACATAAGCATTGTTGCAACTCTTTGACCACCTCGCTTCACATTAAACTGAAATCACACAGAAGTTAAACAAAAAAACATCAACAAAAAAGACAAGCATGTGCAACAGATGGTTCTTGTCATAAGAAGACTCAACTTACAGAATCAGAAAAGTAGTCATGGTGGGGTTTGTAAAATTGATCCTTCTCGTACCTGTGTCAATCAAATATTAAGTTAAATTGTCAATAAATAAATAAGATATAAAGAATGCTATGATACTCCAAAATGATTCTAGTTAAAAACACCATAAGCAAATCACCTTAAAACTTGAATGAGCTCCCCATTCTCTGCTGGTACTTGAGAGTAAACAGAAATTCTTTTTTCTATTGCCTGATGATTCAAGGGAAATAAGAGAATACCATTCAGTCATTCAAGTAGCAGTTCACAATCAGAAATAAATGATAGTATCCATCCATTGTAATCTGGCTGTGGTAGGGTGTGGAAATAAAAAAAACCCCAAATGCTTGCAGGTGTAGTAAAGGCAGTCATCCATGTTTCCACACACCCATCACCCACCCCCCCCCCTCTCTCTCTCCCTACGAGTTAGGGCGGGGGTGAAGAAGAGGGGTGAATGGCATAAGGGAGTACATACTCAAGGAAGTACACCAAATGAATCAGTCAAGCAAATCTCAGAACTTCATCCTAAAGCATGAATATACACCGTTTCTACATCTACAATTTTCAATCTCATGATGCATTAGACTATGACCCAGATCAATAAGATCCAGATAAAGATTATTTTTTATTTTTCTCCAAAAAATAACATTAAATTCTCTTCTTCTAAGCAATTAGAACATTAATAAATTCACAATCATCACACTATAAGACATTAGAGAATATGATACCAATGCAATGAATTTCCAAATATAAACTTAGCAACCCTGCAAAATTGCTAAAAGAAAGCCAAAAATTTCCAGTAGAAAAAGGGCTAACAAACTAACAACCCTACCTCTATCAATGGATACTTCCTCTCATCTGGATGTAAAAACATTCCAGAACTTGTCCGAACTTCACTTCGAACTCCCTAAAATCATGCATGGTAATGATTAGACACATTGTACATAACAAATTCATGCAAGGAAATTATGCTACCACTAAATATAAAAGTCCACCCCATAAATTATACAAGTGAAATTTACAAGTCATTAATATAGAGATTGAGGGAAAGGATACCAAGATAAGAAAAAAAAAAAAAAAAAAAAAAAAAAAAGCTGTACATGGAATTTCCCTAGTAACTCAAAAAAAGTGTCTAGTGCAATGGTTTTGACAAATTGTAGAAGGACTAGATACTTAAGGGGAATATAGATAAAGTTTAGAGCACAAGTGATACATAACAGATAAAGTGTTAACAACCAAGCTATCATGAGCTGATAACAGGAGATACATATAACAGAAAAAGTATGGTCAACATGAATATCATAATCTACAATAAGGATACAAGATGGTCATTACAACAATATATACTTAAAAAGTATCTAGAAGAAGAAATCCATGCAGAATTTATCCAAGTCTATCACCACTAATCCATTTTACCCTCTGCTACTTATTAACCCAATAAAAAAAATAAAAAATAAAAAAAATTAAGCAAGGAGCAGCCACAAGGCCCACGAGGAAAAAAAGAGAAAATTGCAACAACCTTTCCAGTTTTTGTGTCGACCACAGTAGAAACCTGTAGGCGAGGCAAAGCTATAGCTCTCAAATAATCACATTCCTGGAGAAAACAATAAACTTTTGATCAGCAAATAAATTTCAGTTAAACTTTGAGTAAATTACGCGTAAATACAAGACACCATTTCAGGCCTACAACTTGATAATGCTGTGAAGGGGGATGGGCATCAAATCAACAAGATTACACAGTGGTTAGTACATGAATGTATGGGATTTTGTGTGTTCTTGAATTAAACTTGTAGTTGTTGTAGCTTTCACGTGGGAAATGCAAACTACTAAGCAAAAAACAAAAAGAAATGCAGCCTTTTATACTTCATTGATCCAAACTTCAAATTCAACAACAGTATTTCTCTTTGGCCTCTATGAGATATTTCAATAAACAATCAGATGATTTTATTTACTATAATCTGAAGAAATTATATGAAGTTACGTGTATGTGAAGGAATTGGGTGACATGCGTCTCGCCAAAACAATGGTGAGATGAATATTAGGTTTTGCTCATTTTATATCAGGTCTTGCACATATCATCAGAAGTGTTGAATAAATTATGATCTATTAGGTTTTGGACATACCATATGGTCCCGTGTGGATTCATGCATGTGGTAATAATTCCTCCATTTGTTTGAAAATAAATTGCAACATTTAACTTTTATACCTATCAATGTACAATTTTAAAACTAATATTCTAAAACAACTTGGTAGTAAAAATTAAGGAAAGCCAATATTTTGAGAGTGTACACTAAGACTAAACAAATAATTGTTGATGAAATAACATGTAATTTTTTATGTATTACTAACAATTATTATCAAATCCAACATATCCATGCTTTTTTTTTTTTTTTAAATGGAAGATATATGAAATTAATAGCTTGACAAATTCATTAAATTTAACTACTACATCAAATGAAGATGATTGGTTTGAATAGAGATGAATAAATAATTGATGATTAGATCGATAAGGAATAAGATCATACGAAGTATATGATAATTAGTTGTAAATGTAATTGAAAATGTTTAGTGGTGTCTATGTGCTACTCATTGTCTAGTCATTCTGCAGTTTTTGTGTTTTGTAAATAGTAATACATTATCTTATCTTTTTCAAATGTGGAGTACAAGATGTAGTTTGATTAATTATGCAATAAAATATTTAGATTAGCTGGTAAGTCATTTATAGTTCAAATGGGGACATGGGGTATTGTGGGTTGCAGTCTACATGCACAAATTTTTAACGTATAGAAACTACTGAACTTACGCTTCAAGGATATGGCACCATGTCAACCTAAACAGGGCTGACAAGTGGCATGGTAGCAATGCTTTACTTTGCGGTATAGGAGATGTATATGTAAATACAGAGTACCAGAATTTACAATTATTAGTTTTTTTATAAATAATTCACCAGTGTTCAAGGGTCAAATTTTGAGTTTCTATTGTCATATTTTGCATTGTTTGTATCAGTTACTAATGTCAATTCAATTTATGAGCGTAACTGCGTAAGTCACTTTGATAACTATTATTAAGGATTCATATCAAATTAATTAGCGTGCAAAGTTTAATGTCTAAGTTATTAGGTCAGGCTTTAAAGATTTGGTGACTGTTTATTAGAGTGATGGCAGTTTTATAGATTCTTTGTCAAAAGTCTCCAAAATTTAACCTTTTGTTTCAATCTCAATAAATGAATCTTGTGAAGTCAGTCTCAGCCAATACTTTTCATATGCATATTGATACAGAGTAGGTTCGTGAATTGGTTTATGAAAACCTTAAGCAAGCCCAAAAGTTTATTATAATTATAGCTGGGATTTTGTTTTGGTCCTTAGCATGAGCTTAGCAGCAGCTGGATTTTTATACAGACCGTATTATGTTATGGCATGACACCTCAAGCTAGCAACAGTATTTTGATAAAGTTTATGAGCACATCTATTGTATTTGGCAAGAAAGAAATGTGGCAGCAAACACAAAAATTTTCACACAGCTGGGACATATATTAGTTCATGTTCTATCAGCCTGGTAAATGTAATAGTAGAATAATGTAGTCAAATTATTTCTAGGACAAGTTTGATTATTAGATAATCTGTCATACAAAAGTTTATTCATTAGTCAGTTTTGCTGCAAGGTTTTACCATGAAATAATCTTGAGTTTTACATTAGTATCAGGTAGTGATATTAGTTTATGTTTCTAAACTTATTTCAACTCTTTTAGGAACAAACTAACAACTCACCAATACAAGGGCCTTATGTTGTAACATTCATTTCTACATTGACTTTATGAGAGCATTGTATCATATCCAAAATTAAATTGTTTTGAAAATTACAGTCAAAAAACATCAATAACAAGTGAAACTATTCATTATGTATTAGAAACTTTATTTTTATTTTTTTAGTTAAACCGAGTAAAGGTTGTTTGGAACTAAATCTTTGCATAGTCAAATACGCATCAATCAATATTCAGCAAGTCAGTATTAGCTGGCATGACCAGAGAGCTCAAGCTTGACAAAACATAAAGTTCGCCAGCGATTCTCAGACCCCTTTGAGAAAATATGGCAGGTTCAACAACAAAAATAATACATGGTTGAAAAAAGAAAAAAGAAAAGGCTCAAGCATGACAGCTTATCAAATTTTTTTCTTTGGCAATACTCCTTTGTCCAAACCCTATGACTTACTAATATAGTATAAGCTAACACCTTCCAAGATATTCTTCCTTGAAATATTAATGTCTATGAGCCAAAAGTGGTTGAATTAAAAAACATATTCAAATCTGATCTTATTAGCTTGATTGATAGTGCAAAAAAAATTCTAAAGACTTTGCTCCTAAGTTGAGTCATGCTATAGGTAAATTGGTGGATTCCTTTCAGCATCCAGTTCTCAATGCACATAATATGTTTATTTCATGAAGTTGAATTAAAATAATTTGAAGTCCAACCTACACTTCGGAAAATATAATGATTACATCTCATGGTATCCTTTGATGTCAATTCTTGCGGACTGGGTTTTCTTAGTAAATGGTCGACAGAGGTTCATTTTTGTATTATTATAGCTCGTATATATTTTATATATATATCTAAGCAATTACATCGGTCAAAGGTAACTAGACGTTTTCCTCTCTACATTATATCACCGACTTAAGCATTAGAGGGGCTTTACGGGTTCACCTACCATGGCTATTAATTTTACATTATTTGCAAGTCACTTTCATCTTCTCACTAGAACAACCACAAGTTAAGATCGTTGTCAATCTTTAAAGTGTTAGGGATGACTTGGGGATAGGACGTTTGATTTTGAATAAAATCGTGGGTTGCGGTCAATTGAAAATCCTTAATAAAATAGCTCGACCAAAATGGTGTGGCCTTTATTTTTGTTGCATCATAATATTAGCTTAAGTTATAAAAAGGATGAGTTTGTTAATCATGCACTTCTTATTGCAATACTTGCAAATGGCACAACATATTAGCCAAGAGGAAAGAGGCAACAAGTAGGTTGTTTAATTTATTTGTGCAAAAGGAAAAGAGCATGAAGTATACCCCCCCCAGAATGACAAGTGGCTTGCTTTATGCAAAATTTTAAGGAGAAGTGGAGAGAAAAGAAGTGGATCAAGTATGAGTAAAATAAATAATATGAGTTGTAAAAGTTACCAAAAAGGGAGGTGTTGCAATTCTTCAAAAACAGCCCAAAATAGCAAGTGTTAAAATTTTATCGAAACTGAGAGGTATAACTCTCTCTCTTTGGAGCTAGTTAAACAAGGTACAACTTTGTTTTACAAAAGAGAGTTATGATTTGGATAAAAAAAAAAATGTTTGACTGTGGATGAGGATTTCATCGCCAAATGTCAATTTGGTGGTGCACTAGTTAAGAAGAAACCACCAAATTTTGAGGGCAAAGATAACGCTTGCCCCCTCAAGGTTAGATTTTGAATAATACTTGACATCTTCTGTAGTTAGTTGGATATATTGTTACATAAAAACTTGAGATTTTGCCTTGGCCCTCTTTTAGTATGGTGTCTCTCTAAACAAACAACAATAAGTCTAATCTGCTCGTAAGTTACTCATATCGAATTAGAGCAACTAGAAATTAGGCTTGGGTCAAGACCATTGCAAGCTTGAATATAAGCTCAAAAATGTGCTATAAACTACCAAGTATCACAGTAATATTAATAGGAAAACAGAGGAAATATGGGACAAAGTTGGGATCTTTGATTGATAATCAACTGTAAATAACAATGGAGAAAGTTTCTACCTTGGAGGCTACACTACTACTACTCTACGGCTACAAAATTACTTCTTTCAACATAAAGAACACTGTTACATTGCTCTCTCTATTTATACTCCTTTTCTGCCCTGATCCCAATACCCTAGCATTCCCCAACTTTGTCCTTTTGTGACAGAATGACAGCAGCTCTTTTCACCACACCTCATAGTGGGAAATCACATTTTGTTTGTCTTTTTGCTACAGCACTGGCTGCTGGCCTTGATCTTGCTCTTGCTCTTTGTTTTGTTGCTTGCGTCTCCTGCCTCAACCCGATCCATAGCATTACTCCCCTCCCGGACATTCACCTTGTCCTCAAGGTGGAAAGATGGAAACCGAAGATTAATGCTGTCAAAATCCTCCCAAGTGGCTTCGAAGTCAGGTAAGCCTTGCCATTTGAGCAAGACTTCAGTGTTAAGCCTGCCCTTGTCCCCTGTCTGTCGCACCCCCAAGACTTTCTCAGGCACTGCTATCAACTCCAGGTCTGCTGTGATTTGTTCAGGAATCGTGGGGTTAACTGGAGCATCTCCTACCCTCTTCTTCAATTGGGACACATGGAAAACCGAATGTACCCTGCTGTTCTCAGGCAATTTCAGACGATAAGCCACCCTTCCAATGCGTTGCAACACTTCAAAAGGGCCATAAAATCGTGCAGCCAGCTTCTCAAAGGGTCGTTTGGCCAGTGATTGCTGCCTATAGGGCTGCAATTTGAGGTATACCCAGTCCCCCACCTCGAACTCCAAATCTCTTCTTTGACCATCCTCGTTTTCCTTCATTAATTGCTGTGCACGATTGATGTTCATGCGC